GAAGACTCATTTTCCTGAGTTCAAATCTAGGCTCAAACACATACTAGCTGTGTGACCTTGGGTATGTCACAATCCTGTTTGCCTTAGTTTCTTCATCTGTAAAATGAGCTGGGGAAGGAGATGGCAAACCACTCCAGTATCTTTGTGAAAAAATACCCAAATGGGGTCATGAAGAGTTGGACAGGACTGAAACAAATGAACAACTACAACAAAATTTGTATGTTGGGCAAGTCATTTAACATCTCTTGGATTCAGTTTTCTTTGTAAAAGGAAGGGTTAGAATGACCATAAAGGTTGGGAGTCCCCTAATCTTTTAGAGTACAGGTCTAAAAACTCAAATGTATGTATCTCTTTAAGGTTTACAATAAACTTTTCTCACAATAACCCTGTGATAAAGGGCTGTTACTATACTCATTTTATAGTCAAGGAAATTAAGAGTTAGAAAGTTAGTGTGTCTTGCCCAAGATCACACAACCATCAATAAAACATGTTTTTAAATGCAGAGAAGAGAAAATGGAGTTCCCAGAGGGAGACACAGTTAAGCAGGACAGCTTTGGAATTTATGTCTTGGATCTGTTATACTCTTTAAAAAAAAAAAAAACCAAGCTGTAATAGATTTGCAGATTCACATACAATTCTCTTTTTCTATTCTTTGTTTATGAGAATGTTCATGTCTGTTGATATTTTTCAAGTCCATAATAACAAAAACTAAAAACAAATTATTAAATGTTTCATAGCTAGTGTCAGAGCCAGCATTAAAAACTAGATCTTCTGCCTTCAAATCCAGCTCTATTTCCAATATACAACTGTCATGAGAATGGTCACTACCTAAAAATTGACAGAAAAACGTGGGTTTTAGTTTTTTCTTTGACAAATATTAGCTGGCTGGGTGACTGTGGGCAAGTCATTTAACTTCTCAGTTTTCTAGGCAGCTCTCTAGAAAAACTGAAGAGGCATGTTTCCTTCCCTGAGAGTTTACTAACTCAATGAAACCACAGCACCAGTCCCTATCTCTATGCTCTAAAGTAGGAACAAGTACAAACCTAGGATCTCTATTCATTATCAGACCCTAAGCAAATATGCAATGTCTTAGAAATACAGTAACAGTAGCTTCAAATTACACAATCCCAAGAGATTTGGAACTCTTAATTCTTATGAAACACTCTTTCTTCCAACTCCACCTCTCACCTAAATCAACATCTAACAGCATTACCAGGAGATACAGTTTTCCTTTGCTGATAACTGATAAAATAAATCTATTTCACAAAACAGGATAATACAAAATGTTGCTACTGACTTTTAATTCAATTTTTTTGAGTTCTGCTGGAGGCCACACAATAAAAATGTTTAACTCTTTAACTTTTTTGTTATTAAATTTTTCTAGCACCTTTTCTCCAAAGACATTATTTTCCATATCCAGAACACGCAATACTTCCAAAAGAAACAGTCTTTCTATTCCTAAAATGTACAGGTTCATTTTAACAAGTTCAGTTTATAGCTGTGTGACCCTGGGCAAGTTACTTAACCCCACTGCCTAACCAAAACAAAAAAAACCAAAAAAATCAAGTTCAGTTTAATTCAACAAACATTTATTAGGCATTTAGCTCCAGAAGGGTAGGGCCTGTTTTTTTACTTTTCTTTGTATCCCCATATAGTAGGTGTTTAACAAAGGCTTATTGACTGATCTAATAAGTGCAAGGTACTGAAGACATTATCCTCAAGAATGAAATATTTACACAGCTAAATATAACACAAGGGATACTAAGGAGAGGGACAAAAGAGAGATCCAAACAAAGTACTCTCAGAAAATTTGAGGAGAGAGAGCACACTTTCAGCTGTGTCGATCAAGGAATGCTTCAATAAAGGAAGCAATGCACTACTAAATGAAAGCTACTTCAGCAAGCCAAGTGGCACTAAAGTGACTCTTATCAGAGGCCATGCCTGAACAGCTGAACCATGGAAAGCTGAGTTTTACAGATTAATGCAGCAAAAAGGGTCAACCCATCAAAGCGCCAAGTTATCAAAATGTGACTCAAATCATCAATGTAAAACTGTGGCAACCTCTCACTAGCCATCAAATATTGACCCAGTACTGTCCTTCCTCATCTCCACCTCTTGGAATCCCTAGTTCCCTTCAAAGCTCAGTTCTGGTGCCACTTCCTAGAACTCTAAGTCATTTCTGCTCTCTTTCAGGTTCTCTTCAGGTGTTAGTGCTCTACCCCACAGAAACTACCCTGTATAGATACTATGTTGAAGAAGTAACACTTTTTAGCAAATATAGAACTGACCTCAAGGTCACTTAAACTTGGGGTTCAACTCCAAACTCTGACACATATTGTTCATAGGACCTGGGCAAGTCACTTAACCTCTTAGTGCACTAGTCAGCTCTCGAGTCAATTTCTCAAGGGTACCACCATCCTACCAGTCTCCTAGGCTCACAACTTAGGTATTATCCTCCATTCCTCACTTCTTAATCTCTCCTACCTCTCCCCTCCCCCCCAATAGTCAATCTGTTGCCAAAGTCTATAAATTTCACCTTTGTAACATCTCTTACATATGCCCTCTTCTCTTTTCTGACACTGACACCCCTCTGGTTGCACACTCTCATCACCTTATGCTGGGACTATTGCAACAGCCTGCTGGTGGGTCTGTCAGCCTCAAGTCTCTTCCCACTCTAAGTCTTTCCTCCACTAAGCTGTCCAAGCGATCTTCCTAAAATGCAAGTCTATGTCATTCCCTTATTCAAAAACTTCAGGGGCTCCTCATCATATCCAAGATCAAATATAAACCACTGTTTGGCATCAAAATCCTTCATAACCTGGCCCCATCTGGTCTTTCCTGTCTTGTTACACTTTACTCACTCCCAAGTAGTCTAGTGACACTGGTCTCCTTGCTGTTCTTTGATTAAGACACTTCATCTCCCAACTCCAGCCATTTTCATCAGCTGCCCTTCCATGCCTGGAATTCTCTCCCTCCTTATCTCCATTTCCTGGCTTCCTTCAAGTTGCAGCTAAAATCTCACCTTTTTCAAGAAGTCTTTCCTGAGCCCCCTTAATGCTAAGGTCTTCCCTGTCTTGATTGTCTCCAATTTATCCTGCATATATCTTGTTTGTACAAAGTTGTTTTCATATTGCCTTCTCCATCAAACTGTGGGCTTTTTGGGAGCAGGGAATTTTTTTGCCTTTCTCTGTATCCCACAGAACTTAGCACATAAAAGGTCTTTAATAAATGTTTGCTTGAAAAAGATGAACAAGTACTTATTAAGTGCTTACTATGTGCCAGGTTCTTTGCTAAGTGCTGTGGATATAAAGAAAGGCCAGGATAATTATAAGTCTAAGAGAAGGTAACAAACTGCACTGGAAGAGGGAATTTCCTTATTTCTTATACTAAGAAAATCACAAGGCCAGTCCTATCCTCTCTCCCTCTATTTAGTATCTAAACTTTAAAAGCTTAAAACTGCACTATGACTTCTGAGACACTGTGTGTATGTGTATGGATGTATATATACACTCTCTGTACACACACACTTTTATATGTCTATGCATAGATGTGTGTAATATATATGTAAATGTCTATATACATAGAAATGTATATATAGTGTCACAAATGTCATAATGGTTTTAAGCTACTAAAACTTATGACAGCATATATATAATATGTAAATATAAATGTACATATCTATGCATGTGCATGCGTGAACTGCATGTATACACATATAAATATATGATGCAGATACAAACTAGCACACACGTATAGAGATAACTGCATGCATGTATGCCTATGTGCATACACACATGTAAATATACATTACATAGATCTGTGCCTATACATACATGAATGTGTCTGCACACATATGTGTGTAGATGTATGTACACATATTTGTGAATATACATATCTAATTATGTGTATATACACATAATAATACTTAATAGAACCTACTATGTGCCAGGCACTGAGTGAAGTTCTTTACAAATATCTCATTTGATTCTCACATAAACCCTGGGAGGCATGTGCTATTATTATTCTCATTTTACAGTTGAGGAAACTGAGGCAGACAGAGGTTAAGTGATTTGCCCTGGTTGTCACTGCTACTTAAGTGTCTTTGAACTCAGATCTTCCTGACTCCAGGGCTCTTACTACCGATATCTAGGTGCCCCAATAACATATACATATAATATACAATATATAGACAGATATTTTTTGAAAATAATGAACATTGGTGCAGCTAGGTGGCGCAGTGGATAGAGCACCGGCCCTAAAGTCAGGAAGACCTGAGTTCAAATGCGACCTCAGACCAAACACTTGTCATGTATTAGCTGTGTGACCCTGGGCAGGTCACTTAACCCCAATTGCCTTAAAAAATAATAATAAACGTTTATGAAGCGCCTACTATGTGCTAGGCACTGCGCTAAGCACTGGAGACAGAAACAAAGCAAAAGGCAGTCGCTGCCCTCAAAGAGCTTACAACAGAGATAAATACGCAGGCTGATGACAGCCTGACAAATGGACATACTGGCAGACAGGCTGGCACTCTGCCCTAAGTAAAAGGAAGACGAGGTCCTTTGTGGCAGAGATTGTATCGGGGATGATCTTGCATCCCCGGCGCGGGCACGATACCAGGCACGCAGCAGCGGTTTGGTCAATGAACGCTTTCTGAACCGGAGGGGTGCGACCCTGGCGTTGCGAGCTCCTTTCCTGGCCCAGCCCAATGGCCAGCTCACGGTGCAGGGACGCGAGGCTCCCGCATCCGCTCCCCGCCTCCCCCCTGCAGTCTAGTCTAGTCTCGGCCCAGCCCGGCCCGGCTCGCCCTCTGACAGCTGCAACAGCCGCGCCGGCGCCCTCGCTCCCCCTCAGCGATGAGGCCGGGTTTCTCCGCGGCACGCCGCATTCCCCCCGCCCCCCACCCAGGCTGGCTGGGCAGCGCGTCTCCCTGGCCGCGCTGGGTACGAGTCCCGAGGCGGGGGGCGACCGACAAAGAGGATCCACGGCAAGAGGCTCACCATGGCAAGTTTTTCAGCGCTTGGCGAAGACCCGTTCCTGGGGACGCCAGTCTGGTCTCCATTCTGGTCCGCCTCCCAGATCGCGACGTCCTCCATTTTGCCGCCGACTGACACCCGCAGTTGGCGACCCAGAAGAGGAGACGACCCAAAGCCAGACAGGAACCGAGCGGACTCGGGCTGGGCGACAATTTTGCGACACCCCCTGAGAGGGTCGCTGTGGCAGGGGTTGACGCAGAGCCGGGGAGCAAGTTCCGGTTGGCGTGTCTAGCACTAACGTCACTTCCTGGAGCGGCGCGGAACGCTACATTTCCTAGTGTTTTGAACGTTTGGGCGAGGCTCCAGAGAGGTTCCCCTCCCCCGCCTTCTCAGCCCCCCCAACCCCATTGAGGTCGGCTTTCTTGAAGGGTAAGGAACGGAAGGCAGAAGGTGGACTTCCGGGAAGGCCGTGGCTTCAGGGGTTGTTTTGGTGGCTGCCGTGTCCAGCCCCATGGAGAAACGGTTTAAAACGGATGAGAACTTCTGGACCAGCCTGCCTTTCTTCTGTAGATGAGAGAACTGAGGCCTGTAGCGTTCAAGCGACTTGACCAGTTTCCCCGAGGTAGATCGTGGTAAACCCCGAAAGTAATAAAATCCAGCTTCGCCCCCACCCCCTACCCGTACCCTCCAGCTCGGGGCTTGTTCCTGCACTCAGTGGCCCAGACAGGACGTTGAGCCATTTGCATTTGGGAGGTACTTTGTCATTGCAGGGTGTTCAGGACCTGTGATTTCTTAAAGAGTGAGCAACTCTTGAGGAGGAAACTCCTCCCAGAGGTTGGAGATCAGCAACTCCTGTGTAATTTTATAAGTAGTTAGGTGGTGTGGTGGATAGAGTACAGGACTAATAAAATCCTGAGTTCAAATCCTATCTCAGACTCTGGGCAAGTCACTTATGCAAGTCTGTGTGCCTCTGCAAGTCTGTGTGCCTCAGTTTTCTCATCTGTAGAATGGAGATAATAATAATACCCGCCTCACAGAGTTGCGAGTGTCAAATATCTTCATGTTCTTAAGACTAGATAGAATGTGTAAGAAAGCACTTTAAACCCATGTCTTCCTGATTCCCGAGACTCCTTTGCTATCTACTACACTTAGACTTCTCTGGAAGAGCAAAATAAATCCTGAATCTATAAAGTCTAGAAACTCTTTTGAAAAGAAAGCATGAGTCTTGCTTAGACACTGGTTGCCCATTCTTATACACTTAGTCCTGTTCTACCTTGTGTACATTTCATCCTTCCTACTAGATTGTGAACTCTAGGGTGGGGCTGAGAGTCATCTTTCTATCTCCCAGGTCTAGCGTGGAGCCAACAATGTTTGTGGATTTGAATCCAGCAAAGTATAATATAGGACAGTGGTTCATTTATTAGTGTAAGAAGCAGGAGTAGAACCCAGGTTTCCTGACTACTCCATCGTTCTCTGGTGTTTTTTCTTCTCTACCATGCTTTCTGAATTAATGTCTAATAGTAAAACAACCCTAAGTACCAAAAATAAGATTTTAAATGGTACCATTCTTAAATTCTGCAATGCTAGTGACTAGCAAAGTAGAATGAGTAATATTCATCTTAAATGAAGACATAATTTCTGTCAAAAAAAGGGGGGAGATAGTAAAAGATAATGTAATATTTCTTGAATCTGGTGTCTTGAACTTTCCCTGTTTCTCTAGCACTTAACCAAACAATTTTCTAACATTTGTTCATCCTAGCCCTCTGCCTCCATCTCAGCCCTTCACAGTCCTACTTAGAACTTTCTGGACTTTGCTCAAATATTATCTTCTCCATGAGGAAGTTTCCCTGCCAGAAATGAGGTCTTAAGAGGTTCACAGAATTTTACAAGTGAAAGGGACCATTCTCCAATCCCTTCATTTTACAAGTGAACAGAGACCAAGAGCCTTTCCTGAAACTTCCCCATTGCATTTGGGTTAGTATGTCACATATGTAACAATATTCAAGACAGCATGTACTTTGAAATCAGTTTAACTTTCTCTGATAGACTGTAAATTTGCGTCTTTTGGTTCACTTTGGATCAAGCTTTTAAAACTGAATAAATACATAGATACGCACATATGTGTGGGTATATGTACATATGTATATATGTGTGTATATGTTTATACATATTTTTGGTGAAAACTGAAAATAAAGATCTGTTTTCATGTTCTCTGTAAAAAATCATGAAAACAATTTGATATATGAAACTTTTCCATTGTACCAGAGATTGTACTCATCATATACGACCATGTGTTTCAGCTATTCATATACATATCTACCTTACTGGTTTGGGAGTTACTTGAGGGCAGGAGTATCTTATAAATGTTTTTGGCCCTCCCACAGCAACCTACCTCAGTGTCTTAACAAAATAACTTCTTAATAATTATTTGTTAAATAATTGGTCATGGCATCAAAGTTGTAAGTTTTAGTTAGTTACACTAACAGCACATAGTTGATGCCATAACCTATGCTTTCCCAGGAGCCCATCATTTAATTGACATAATGCACTGGACAGTAACTAGAAAAGCATCTCCAATTCTGTGGTTATTTGAAGGCAGGCTTACAATGCTATTTATTACATTCGCACCATTAACTGGAAGTATGCTATCTTTTGTACTGACCATAGGACAGATAAAACAAATATACAGACAGACATATAACATGATGCAGGGTTTTTTGTCCTTTAACAAGATATGGGTGCTGTTTGGCCTAATTTAAAGTAGCATTGGATTGGTTGTATTTGTTTTACTTTCTATGCTCTTTTTACCTTCAAAGAACTGTTTTTATTAGCTTCTGCTCACAACAGCTTTGTAAATGACAAGCTGATCCCTGTTTTACAGGTGAATCACTCTGTAAATTGAATCATCATCAACAGTATGTATTAAATAGCATTCTCAAATGCCCAGCATTATACAATAAATTGGAGCAGTCAGATTTAGAAATGCAAATCTGCTGAGACACTAGTTCATTGACATACATAAGCCTTTTTAATCACAGGACTTCCCCTGAAACTTTTTCTCAGAATTTCTAAAGTAATATTTGCGATATTACCAGTCCTCTTTAACTGTTAATATTTGTCTCTCATGGAAGGTCCTGTTTCCTCTAAATGATTTCTCAGATTAAGTGGGGTAAAGTATACAAAAACACTTTGAAAAGTATGAAAAAATAGGGGCAGTTAGGTGGTGCAGCAGACAGAGCACCAGCCCTGGAGTCAGGAGGACCTGAGTTCAAATTGGGCCACAGACACTTACTAGCTGTGTAACCCTGGGCAAGTTACTTGACCCCGATTGCCTCCAAAAAAAAAGAAGAAAAGTATGAAAAAAATATGCAAATATGTGTTGTAAGGAGGCATGAAGCTTTTACTTTGTCCAAAGCAATAAGGTTTTGCTCCTCACATATGCATAATAAAGTCAGAATTTAGGGCTAGGTGGCAAGAAGTGAATGTTGAATTGATCTAATAGAACCTATTGACTATTGGGTGACCTTTGTGAAACAGGGATGGGCCAGGGGCAGAGTTCACCCAGACCTTGAAAACATTCACCCTGACCATCAATTGTTTAGGGATCCAGTCTAACCAGCGCTCATAAACCCTTGAGCAGAAATAACAATGAAGACTGAGAATAGAGAGTGCCCTTTCTATTCTGGCCTGGTGAATCTCAAGTGATCATTATATTCTTGTCTTTCTATAAGAGATATTTGAATAAAATACCTTTAAAGCTAACCAGATCACATAAGAGTGTAGAAAAAAAAAAGAGGACCTAAAACAGAGCCTCGGATTATACCTCACACAGTGGGCAGGACATTCGTGATAACCTTTCAGTAGAGACAGAAAAATCTAATCAGACAAAATTTCATGAAAACCCAGGAAAGAAAGATAATCTGGGGAAGGTGGTCAACAGCATTAAATGCTTCAACAAAATCAAGGATGAAGATTTAGAAATAACTATCAGATTTCACAATTAAGAGACCATTGGTAACCTTAAAGACAGCAGTTTCAGTGGAGTAGTGGGTGAGTACAGAATGCAAATTTCAAGAGGTTGAGAAATGAGTGAAAATTGAGAAGTGGAAGCAATCAATATATAGACAACTTTTTCTAGGAATTTGGCTGTGAAGAGAGGAAAGATAGAATGACAGCTTGAGGGGGTGTGGTAGAGTCATGTGAAGGGTTTTTTTAAAGATATAGATCTGTAACGGTTTACAGGCAGCAAAAGAGGAATCAGTGGATACAGTTTGAAAATTATGGAGGGAGAAGAGATGATGGACAAACTACTGGAGAAGAAAGGAGATCAGCATTTTTCCTCTCCTTAGGTGTGCCCTAGGCAGGGAGAAAAGCCACCTCATCCTCCAAGATTGGTGCAAAGGCAACTAATATGGAAGTGTTTTGCGTGATTATACATGTATAACCTATATCGAATTGTTTGCCTTCTTAATGAGGTGGAGTGGGGAGGGAGAAAGGGAGAGAATATGGAACTCAGAGTTTTAAAAATGAATGTTAAAAATTATTTTTACATGTAACAGGGAAAAAATACAAAATAAATTTTTTAAAAAAGATTGGTGCAAAGGAGAGAATGGGGGTTGATGTGGAGGTGATTTGAAGTGCAGAGTTGGGAAGCAGAGGGAATTCTCCATGGATAACCTCAGTTTTTTCAGTGAAATCTGAGGCAAAGTCCTCTTGTTAAAATGGAAGAGGGAAGAAGTAATATAGGTAGTTTGAGAGAAGAGAAAATCTGTAACAGCCACTGCAGGGAATGGCAAAGAGCTGATTAGAAATTCAGAATCAGAAGGGACATAAAGGTAACATAAATTAACCTCCTTTTACTGATGAGGAGCTAAGACTCAGATTAAATGACTTGCCCAAAGTCACACAGGTAATAAGTAGCAGAGTGACGATTTGAGCCTATGTCCTCATATACTAAGTACAATACTCATTTCATTATACCATGCTGCTGTCCAGTTAAGAGTAAAAGGATTGACAGGAAGCAGTCCATTTACGTCCTTGCGCTGTGGAAGCTTGTTTAAAAGCCACAGACAGCTAGCTCCTCTTTAGTTTTGTTATGGGAGAAATATCTCCTCTCTGAGTTCATGTGGTAGGTAACTGCTACCAAATATATACATATATATTATATATATGTATGTATGTATATATAATATATATGTGTGTGTGTATATGTATATATATATATATATATGTGTATATATATATATATACCACAACACAGAAATTTGAAGGGTAAAAACCTAGGTTTTATTATTATGCTCAAGTATAGATTCACGCCTCAGAGAAAACCTGAACAATCATGAGGATTCTAACAAGGCTTCTTATATGCAAAATTACATCAAAGTAACAGAGAATAACCATTTACATATTACAATCTTGTACATTGCTCTGAGATCGTAAAAGTTAAAGAGATAGATCCATAGTCCCATACTTTCTTCAGTGTCATAAACATTTTCAGGAGGAATGACCCTGAATCCCAAATAATAAAAGGAAATAAAAATTCCCATAACCGATTGCAATAACTGGAACTGTCTAAAAGATCATTGGCTGGCTTTGGACACAGGAGAATTGAATCATCTGGAGTAGACACACTTTTGCAAGGGTCTAAAAAAAGTGAGCTAGTAGAGTAGCTTGGCCTTTTTTTTGTACTCCTGTACACCCTTCTCTGTTCAGATCAGAGAGCAATAGATCTGTCTTCTGAGTTAGGAAAGCAAACACACACACACTACTCTTCCCCTGTTCCCCTGAACTGGTAATACCTACCTTGGGACAGAAGCATATAGGCCAGTTCCCCCTCCCCTCACAGCTTCTTGAGCATAACTAAGAAACTGGATTCCTGTGATAGAATTTTCCAGGCCAAGTGTTAGCCAGAGCAATCAATGACAGAGTTCTCAGAGAAGCAGAAGACAGAAATAGATATATTCCAGGCCATTGGGCCATAGAGGGTAGCTCATGGACAATATTCCTGACCTCTAACCTTTGTAGAATAGGGGGTTGGCAGTTATACCAGAATATAGCCGCCTAACCAGAAAAGGAAGATTTCTTGGATAGCAACAACTTTGTGAAGTTTCCTCTAAATTAAAAAGCTCTCAAATTCAAGAGTTTAGGAACTGGCCTCTTTACAGAGAAAGTAGGTGGTGCAGTATATAGAATGTCAGGCCTACAGTCAGGAAGACTCATCTTCCTGAGTTCAACTCTGGCATCAGATAGTTACTAGCTGTGGGACCCTGGGCAATTCATTTAACCCGGTTTGCCTCAGTTTCCTCATCTGTAAAATGAGCTGGAGAAGGAAATGACAAAGTACTTCAGTATCTTTTCCAAGAAAAATCCCCAAATGGGGTCATGAAGAGTTGTGTTGTGTTCACAGCTGAAAACAACTGAACAGCAACAAAGAGAGAAAATGCTCAGAAAAGTGTCTTAGAAGATTGCATATGTGTACCACAAGACTTGAGAACTCAGGTCTTGGGAGAACAAGACCTTGTCACTCTTGACAAGGTAAGTGATTTGAATAATGTAGGTCCAGTGGGAAATGATATTGCTTCCCCAGTAGCCCCCAAATAGAATTGTCTTGGGGGGAAGTTTATGAACTATTTGGGTGCTTTATGTTTTCTTTATCTGTTTATGGGTCTTTCCGCCCTTTAAGTCTCTTATGTATTTTCTGTACCTGTTTATGGGCAACTGTGAATCATTTGTGTCTTGCATTTTCTGTGGAGTGAAAAGAAGGCTGTCTTGGGGCAGCTAGGTGGTGCAGTGGATAGAGCTCCAGCCTTGGAGTCAGGAGGACTTGAGTTCAAATGTGGCCTCAGACACTTAACACTTACTAGCTGTGTGACCCTGGGCAAGTCACTTAACCCCATTGCCTCCCCCCCCCAAAAAAAAGAAGACTGTCCTGTTCTTGATACTCAGGTTGTTGCCTAGAGTGCTGTAGGAGAGGGAGGGACTCCCTTATTCACAGGTAGGGGAAACCTTGGTAGGTAATATAGTAAACTATATTTGGACCTTTCCTAAAGTAAATTCTAGTGGTGGCATAATGGAACAGAGAGAACATTACTCTCTTGGGCCAGTACCAGTATAGTTATCTAGTCTATGTGAGCTCAGTCTTTGGGTCCTTCAGTCACAGGTTATATCCGCAGCAACTCTGAGAGCTAGATAGAACTTCATTCTCTCTCACTGATACTCTGTGTGTTAGGGATTAGGTATGAATTCATA